GTCTATATATAGCCGCGACCCACAGGTAACTGCGTCAGACGCCTGCTTGGTTGACGCAGCTGGCAACGCAAGCCGGGATGCTTTGTGTGCGTGTGTGTTTGGGTGTGCGCGCATGTGCACCTCCTTCCTTGGAGATTTCCCCCCCCCCACATACAAACACACTCTCTCCCTCTGAATCTAAAACCAGAAGCCTTCCCTTTCTCTCCTCAGCTCTGCTCCTCTGCCTTTCCTATGAGGAGCGTGCCACTCCAACAAGAGCCCATCATTTGGTTTTTTTTTTCTGCCTGGAAAGAAAAGAGAATTTGGGCCACTTTATAGATCCGGAAGCAGTTTCTTTCTTCCGTCTCCTGTGGTTTGAGGAATCCCAGAGTAATTTTTAGGAGCCTCGGGCAAACTGAGTTAGCTAAGAAATCCAAGGAAGGAACTTTCATTAAGGATTTCCCCCTCAAATGGGATCCATTCTCCATCTGCGTTAGCTTTGAGCTATTCTATCCTCCTCCTATACAAACGCATGCTGGCTGTGTTCACAGGGGCATCCGTGGAGGTCAAAAATGTCAAGATGGTGACCACAGCCACACGAGGAAAGCTCACATGTAACAAAGGGGGGAGCTTTACTCACACAGCCACTCTTGGTTTTTATGACCCCCTTTGCAGATGCCCCTGAAAAGCAGCGCATGAGTTAAACAGATGAAGCAACCTCTCAGTGACTTATCTAACCACATAGACCAGTGTTTTTCAAACTTGGCAACTTTAAGACGGTAAATTTTTGGGGCCGGAGCTGGTCGTAACCTGAAAAATTCGTTAACGGAGGCGTTCGTAACCCGAGATACCACTCATCTTAAAGTTGCTGATCAGCACTCGACTGCCAAATATTCTTTATTCCTGCTACTCTGCCTTGAATAACAGCTTGAGCTCCACATGTTAGCAGATAGCAATGCTCCTCTCCACATCCTCAAAATCATCCCTCCTTGGTTTGTAAGGCAAAACATCTGTTCAAAGCACAGGAGCACCCTGAAGGGAGGGTGGCACATCAGTTGGCAGAGCAGCTGTTTGGTGTCTCTAGCCCTAATTGCCCTTCAGCCAACCTTTGGCACCTGGCTGAACCAACCCGCTTTTTAGCAAACACGAAGGGCTGTTATGATGTTATTCCTCCATGGAAATGCTTTGTGGGAGGGGGAGATCAGGGCTGGGTTGTACACCACCCCACCCTCCAGCCTGGGAATGGGACGCCCAAGATTGGAGCCCCACCCAGCTTTACTGGGAAGAGGCACCCTTGACCTCTGTCCAGCAGCTGAGCCAACAGCTCGGAAGCAGATGCATTTTACTTTTGAAAGGGACCCGGATCCCATTCACCCATTGCCTGTCGCTTTCCTGTTCAGGGTGGTATGCGGGGAAGACCCTCTGCAACACTCAGGCATTGTTAGCCAAAGTCTAGTTGGATAGCCTTTGTCTAGAGGAGTCAAACATCAGAAGTCTGCTAGCACCTTTTCCAATTAACAAACTTTATTAAAAGGCATCAGCGTGGGGGGGGAGCTGCAGTTCACTTCACCTGATGCAATTTGCAGCTCCCCCACGCTGATGCCTTTTAATCCAATTTTTTTTAGCCTGCCACACTTGATGTCCTGCGGAGAAGAGAGACAGAACAAGGCCAGGCCCTGACTAATTAGGAGGAGGAGTTTAAAAAAACAAAACAAAACCGGGATATGCACCGATAGCTCCCTGCAGGACAAACAAAAGCCATAAAAATATTACACAGACTGGAAGTGATGATTTGTTTCGTGGTCTGGCTTGAAGTTGCACTTGACTCCTGGGGACTCCAAGATCAAGTCCATGCAGTTTTCTTGGCAATGGTTTCAGATGAGGCTTCTTGGTGCTTTCTTCCAAGGGCTAAGAAAGAACCACAGCCCCAAATCAGCCGGTTGGCTTCCAGGACTAAAGCAGAACTCGAACTCAGGTCTGATAGAATCCTAGGATTGGAAGGGACATTCGAGGTCATGTAGTCCATCCCTCTGCCCAGGGCAAGAATCATGATCCATCCCAGGCAAGTATCTGTCCAACCTTGGCTTGAAAGCCTCCGGGGATGGAGCCCCCACGACTCCAGGAGGGAGGCTGTTCCTCTGCTTCATAGTCTCATGGTCGGGAAATTCCTCCTTATTTCAAGTTTGGATCTCCCTCTGTAAAGCTTCCATGTGTTGATTCTTGTCCAAGGTTCAGATCCTGTGGAGAATAAATCTACCCCTCCAGCCCTGGGACAGGCCTTCAAGTATTAGTGCCATCGTGTCTCTCCTTCGCCTTTCCTTCTTTAGGCCAAACCAGTGTTTCTCAACCTTGGCAACTTTAAGGTGTGTGGACTTCAACTCCCAGAATTCC